GCATGCTGCGGTTGCAGGAATTGTGGAAGTGACAACCTCCATCGGTGTTTCAAATCGCGTCGGGGTGCGATGAAAATACGTGCAGATATACATGGGGGTTCGTTTCGATTTCCCCATAGGAGTCGGGTTATTGTCATGGGGGTCCACAAGGGGCGTGCGTAAGACGTCCCGTAGGATGCCGTATGGATGGGAACTATCAGACCAATTGATCAGAACCACAGTCATGAAGCATGTTTCCACCGGGATAAACTCGGTTGGGGGACACTGCATCGGGCGAGATGTTGCACGCAGAAGTGAGTGGGACCAAGGCACAGAGCGAGCTGAAACCGTTCCTGTTAAACGTGAGGGGGGGGGGTGTACTCGTAGCCGTGCATGCCGTAGTTGTTAGACCATTGACCTCGTTTCCCTACAAAGCCGGGACGGAGCACGCCGGGTTCTCACCGGACCAGGCTCTCACATCACCAAGCGCGAAGCGCCGTGAGATATTCGGCGAGTCGCATGAAGGGTGCGCTGCATCCTGCTAAGGGTGTTCGGCATCTTGTGCTTACTTCCTTGCGTACGGATGACAGCTGCGTATGACTTAATTTATTTTCTGGTGCTTTCACTTCCAGAGACAGTTGTAAGCACTGTGTAACTGCCTCGAGGGTGCTTGACGATTTCCACTCAACGTGGTGCGATCATCCCCCTTGCGCGGAGTGAGGCTTCTCCTCCCCGCACAACATGATCTTCTCGACGACCATTATGGTTACCGCAAAAACCAAAAACAGAGGTAAGACAAACATCGGCAACCTGGTTGCCGAGTTCACGAGGTGAANGTCGCGCACATACACACATTCACATTCTTCATGGGCAATAGCAATAGATACTGCTGTAGAGCGATGCTCGGTACAAATACCGCCGGTATCACCGGTACGGTACCGGTATACGATGCCTATACCGGTACCGAGATGCTCGGTACGTTCAGTACGATGTCCATACCGGTACCGAGATTCTCGGTACGTTCGGTACGATGTCCATACCGATACCGAGATGTTCGGTACGTTCGGTGCCATGTTCATACCGGTACCGAGCGTACCGGTACCTTACCGAACACGCCCTTGCTTAATAACATCACACAGACGTTGTAAACCGGTGGACGGGACGCGTGTACAGTACACCCGGGAACTCAAATAGGGTGCCAACAAACGTCGAACTTGAACGGTTTCTTCTCACTACCGGGTCACATGGTTCGGACGGTAAAAACAACGGAACGTGAACACGCCTCGACCGGGAGGTAGGCAACAACTTCACGTATCCGGGGCCATCGGCGATCTGTACAGTCCCGACCTTTCCAGTCGCCTCGTAGGACAGACGGTGAACTTCACAGCAGTCTCTGACCAGTGGCGAACACACGAAAACCACGCCTGCAGTCTACACAACATGAAAAGCGGCATTTCCCTCTTGATTTCTGGGTGGTGTTGAGTAAACACCAGGTGGTTGGTTGCATGCAGGCCTTACAAGGCCAGAGGGCGGAAATGGCACCCTCCGGCATGCTGGGGGTCAAGCTTCGACAAAGGATGCGGTTGGAGCCAAGAGAGAAGGGGACGGGGGCTTTCTCGACCTATCCACATACGTCGCTGTCGCTGGCGCTTAAGCCTTCTTGGGAGCAGCCTTCTTCTTAGGGGTGGAGGGCTTCTTCTTGGTGGTGGTAGGCTTCTTGGCGACCGCCTTCTTCTTAGTCGCAGCAGGCTTCTTGGCGGTGGTGGGCTTCTTCTTGGCAACGGTCTTCTTAGTCGCAGGCTTCTTGGCGGCCGGCTTCTTCTTGGCGACCTTCTTCTTCACGACCTTCTTGACCACTTTCTTCTTTACGACCTTCTTCTTGGGGGCGGGCTTCTTCGCCTCGGGGCTGAGCTTGTAGGAGCTCTTCACCTGCAACACGAGGCAACCACGAAATGTTCAAGAAGCATCGAATTCAGGATTCAGGGGCACCGACTGGTATCGAAACAGCATACACGGATACGTGCATCACGCTGCCAGGAAGCTGAGGAAACACATGAAGATCGGCACAGCAGTAGGACCTCTGTCTGGTCGGAACACATATTCCCCCGTTCGCATTACCTTGCAGTGCAGTTCTTGCCTGGACCCGAAAGGAACCAAACAAAACGACTTGGTGCTAGGTGCCCAACACACAAGACGTGACAAGAACAGGAAAGGCAGGAAAATTTCCCGCTGGAAACCAACATGTCCTACACCAGAAGGGATGGCTGTCTCACCTTGATGAACTTGCCGGACTCGGTGCCCTTCTTGAGAGCGCTCCTCATCTGGTGAGGGGTGAAGTTGAGGCTGGGGTACGTGGCCATGATCTGCTTCTTGAGAGCAGGGAGGGACGAACCTCCTCTCTCCTTGAGAGCCTTGATGGCGTCGAACACCATCTGCCACCACAAGAGACAAGGAAGCGTTACTCAGCTTTCCCCGAAAACAGCGTTTGTTTGTTCGTGTGCTGCTGCAGCTGCTGTAGCGTCGAGTGCTGCAGTCGTTCAAAATAAGCCGTCCTTGCGGGGGAGGCGAGACAAGTACAAGACACACTGCGTGGTCGACAACGACGGTCGAGGTGTTTTCATTGACGGGAGGATTGCCACGCCGTCCGTGGAGTGGAAGACCAAGGGTTAACCTTCACCATCTCGGGACACCTTGCCCTGCAGGAGCACAACAAGCCTTACAACGTCTGATGGTCCATAGACGCGGGCACAACAAAGTCACACCGTCTTAGAGCAGCCATCACCAATCGTGAGGCTACCTACTCAAATGCACCCATGATACTGCTGTAGGTGGTCGCACACGGCAGTGTTTCGCGAGACGATCGTTTGCCTGTCTCCCGTTTTACAACTAGTTTCCAGCTGCTTGAAATCCTTCAAATATCTCAAACGGACATGATCTGCATGAAATTTGGCACAGGGTTGCAATTCCCCTGCTTGACTCACCACGCTGTATGTCGGCTTCGCGGTCGTCGCCATGGTTGCTGCTGTTGGGGCTCGGATACGGAGGTGGACGAAGAGAGCAAGAGACAGAGAATGGGGTGAGGAGACCAAAGAGAGCTCAGGTTTCCCCAATAACGCCTTTTGTGCCCGTTCGCGGTTCAATCACCGCACCATTTGGCATTCTGGCCAATCGACACGCGCTACACTTTCAAACTTATCCCGCCGCGTTCTCTCGCCCGCTGCCTCTCGCCTCTCTCGATCGCTCAACCCCCCGCCATCGACCACTCTTTCTCTCTCCTCTCTCTTGCCCGCAAACCTTTCCAGCCTTATCACAAGCAACATGGCCCGCACGAAGCAGACTGCCCGTAAGTCCACCGGAGGCAAAGCCCCCCGTAAGCAACTGGCGACCAAGGCCGCCCGCAAGTCCGCGCCCGCCACCGGCGGTGTGAAGAAGCCCCACCGCTACAGGCCCGGCACCGTTGCCCTGCGCGAGATCCGTCGCTACCAGAAGTCCACCGAGCTGCTCATCCGCAAGCTCCCCTTCCAGCGCCTGGTCCGCGAGATCGCCCAGGACTTCAAGAGTGACCTTCGCTTCCAGGGCTCCGCTGTGCTCGCCCTGCAGGAGGCTGCCGAGGCGTACCTGGTGGGCCTGTTCGAGGACACCAACCTGTGCGCCATCCACGCCAAGCGCGTGACCATCATGCCCAAGGACATCCAGCTGGCCCGCCGCATCCGCGGTGAGCGCTCTTAAGCGCCCTTGCTTTCCTGGCTAGAACCTGAGGTATTACTCACGCTTTGCTGCACCGTGGGTCCCACCTGCAAAACCTGGTGTTTATTCAACACCACCAAGATCACGAGAGGAATCTCCCGCCGAGTGCAGCCACTGCTGCTTGCAGCGTGTATTTGTTTCCGGAAAGGTTCCCTTTCTGTGTTGGGTGTGCGGTCATCGATGCTCCAGCGAGTGGGGTTGAACACAGCTGGTTGAGATGGTTTTGCAAACCGGCCGAAAACGTTGACGCCGAGCTTATCATTTTACAGCAGCAATAGGTTTACCTGGTGCAATAAATTAGCGAGTTTCGAGAAAATGCCAAACCCCACCGGCTGATCTTTGAATTTTCGTGGCGTGCCACAAGTGTTGTGTGGTGCTTCGACACTCTTCTCCGCCAGGAGTTCAGATCATGCAGCTGTATTCACGAACACGAGACTGCTGCATATCCAATCGTTCCCTGTTGTAGCGAAGTGTTGGTATATAAAAAAAAAAGAAGTTGCAACATGCCACATGTACCGTCGGTGGCGAGGATACCTCGCCTTGTGATTGTTTGAAATACGCTTCCCCCGACCAAGAGGATGCCACAATCAAGCGACTCGACCAGGTCGGCCAAGGCTAGACTGCAGTTCCCTGTGGACCATGTCGGCCGCTTACTCAAGAGGAGCAAGTACGTGTCCCGCGTGGGTGCGGGAGCTCCCGTGTACCTTACCGCCGAGGTGCTTTGAGATGGCCGGCAACGCCGCTCGCGACAAGAAGGCCCGAATCATACCCCGCCACATCCATCTGGCTGGCAGAAACGAAGAGCCGAAGAAGCTCCTTGGCGAGGTGACCATTGCGTCCGGCGGTGTGCTGCCTACCATCCACGCCATGCTCTTCCCCATTTTTCAGAGTTTCAGAAGGATCTCGACGGGGATTTCAACGTCATTCTCGGTACCGTCCCTACGATTACTGCTACTTTGCAGTCAACCTTGAAAACCGGGGTGGGGCGTGTAGTATCTACACGTCCTCCAGGTAGGTTGCCTCTGATGACCGCAGCGTTTGTTATCCAACGTACAGCAGTAGGTATCTGTGGGCGCCAGAAGACTGCTGTATTCTTCGGAAAATGCTTGATGCACCAAGAGGGCACGTGAATTCAAAAAATACGTGATGCACACACGCACACACACATTTTCATTGGTCAGCCGGTTAGCTCGGTCGATGCTAAACAATGAAAACACACACACGCACCCCATTTTTCAGGCGGGTAGACAAATCCAACTTGGTCAAGGCGTTTATTGTGTAGGACTTAGAATGAGTATAAAAAGGCTGTAATTCCATAATGAATAGGCTTCAAGTAAATGTACCAATTAAGAGACACTTAAGCCACCCTACGCTCAAACAGCTCGTTCTTGACTATTAGGACGAATATCATTGATGTCGAGGTATCGTACGATAGCCAACATCGCAGGCTACCTCCAAAAAAATAAAATCGTTAGTGCTGGGAAGATATGGCTCCTGTAATACAGTCGTCCCCGCTTTAAAGACACCATTTTTAAAGACATGTCCCGCTTTAAGGACACAACAAATCTCAGAAACATGGTGCCCCGCAGACGTGAAAAAGTAGGGGGGGGAAGGGTTTTCCACCATTCGACCCCCCCCAGAAAATGTGCTGCAGCATCTGTAGATCCTGGATGATCTACAACAACAGCGGTCTGCTGCAGCCGCACACTGCGTGTGGGTGTATGGAAAGTTTCATTCCATCTGCTAGCGGTTCGTCTGCTGCCGGCTTGAAGCCATGCGGCGAACCGACGTGCCAGTTCAAATCTGCACTGGTGTCACTGGTTCATCAGTGTCCGTGCGGGCGACCCATGCACGCGTTTTGTGGTCGGGGCATCGGAGAGGAAGGTCACGGACAGCAGAGAGAGTGCTCGTTGTGACCTTTTGGGAGGCGCGGTGTCCTCTTGTCGCTGTGCTTTCCCGACATTTTTGGTCTCTGTGTTTCTGCGTAACCTTCATTTTCCTAGAGTCGTTTTACAACCTTCGATATTTCTCAGGTGCGGTAGCGAGATCTTGGGCAAGATATTCACGGGGAGGACAACGCCTAAAAAATATAATAAAAGGAAATAATTAAGCCCATATCAACACCAGCGCACTACCGTCGTGTACATGTACGATGCGTAGGTCGTAGAACACCATCGCTTTCAGCGTTTTGGTGGTACAGTACGGGGAAATTCAAACGATGGTATGCAAGTATGTATTGCAGCACAATAATAGCAGCAGTGAGTGCGACCTTCAAATCACCTCGTGTCGTAGGTTTCAAGCAACCACCTCTTGTGGTCGCCTTCTGCTGCGAATGCGCACCTTTTGACATATGTTTCGCCCTCATTGGTCCCCGGGATGGTGCGTTCGTGGCCCCGGAATTTCAACGACACTTCCCCGCGTTAGAGACACTTTTTGGGGGGGAGAACGTGGTGTGTCTTGAAAGCGGGGTCGACTGTACCCCTAATTTTTCCGGGATTATTCGGTGGAAAACACCCCCGCCCCCGTGAAGAGACACCTTAAAGATGTGGTGATTGCGCGAGATCTAAAGCGTTTCAAGACCTGATTTTTTTCGTACACGCTTTGCTTGAACTCATGTCCATGTAGAAAAAATTGGATCGATCCATCCAGGGGCCACGAACGTCGCATCCCCGGGTTTCCACCATATTCCTCGGGGCTGAAATAACCCTGTTTTGACCGCACAGCGGGTGCTGTGAACTTGAGGAGAGCCAGTAGTTTCATGCATGATTGGTCCATTCTGATCATATGTCGACTCCACAAAAAAAAAAATAGAGCGAAAAACGTTATGGAGAGGGTGTTTTGCCTGTTACAACAGGCATACCTTTCCCAGGCCGTTGCGGCGAATTCTCCNCTGCTCCTTGGAGGTTACGATAGCGAGGTCCTCCGGGATCGGGCGGTCAGACGCCGACCGTTTCCTCGTGCTGTGTAGCCGACCGAGTGCCTTCTCCATATCCACCGGCCATAGGCCCGCCCCTCTGAGTGACGAGATGTTGTTCGAAGGTGTTAAACTCCCGGCCCATGCCTGCGCAATCACACCAGCCATGTCACGCTTTCCCGGACTCCTCCCTCCGTTTTGAAGCGGGTAGGCATTGAGCACCTTGGTCATCTGCTTCTTCAAGGTTCCGAACGTACTGACGTCCAAGGGCTGGGTCATGTGCGATGTGTGGGACGGCAGCTGAAAGAGGTCGATGTCCAGAGAAATCGCCAAGGAGATGGCTTCGAAGGTCGTGTGCGAGGCGTGGCCATCAAGCACAAGGGCAACTTTGCCCTGCAAGCCACGAGCGTTGAGCTGTTCGCGGAGGTTCCGAAGGTAGCTGAGGAAGACGTCGCTGTGCATGAAGGAAGACTCCGTGACGGTGTACCTAGCACCGGGGATGCCGTTGTCGTCGGCGACCCAATCCGGTTGTATGCGCTGTCCTTTGTAGAAAATGGTGGGGTCGTGGGTGTGGCCATCGGCGCCGATGGTGGAGACGATCGTGGTGTTTTCCCTCGAGTTCGCACGCCTCGTACCCGGCACCTTGGAGCCTTTCAAGGCGAACGCCTTCCCCGCCTTCGTTCCTTGCGGGGTGGGACCTGCAACACACGCGGACACCGTGTACGAGTGAAATGACAGCAACGTGTGTGTACACATTAACAGCAACACGGTCGCTCCGGTGGTCTAATGGGTAGCCTCACAGGCTGCTAATGACCAGATCATGGGTTCGGGTCCCGGCAGAGAGAGTTTTTTTCTCACTAAATAAATCCTGGTCTAGGATGAAAGCGACGCGCTGCAAAGCTCGTTTGTTAGTAAACCATAATCGACTTCGTAAGGCGCGAAGGAAGGGATTGCTGTTCCCTTCTCGCGATAAAAATACCTCAGGTATGAACCGCAGGAGGGGGTCCAACCCACCCCTCCTATGTGACCCCGGTTGGGTCGTCTAGCTCGCAGAAGTGGAGGATATGGGCCAGAGGGGCAGACGACAGAGTCCAATGATGGGAGAAAAACAAAACAAAAACAACAACATTACAGCAACGCGTGCACACGCCACGACAAAGAAAAAAAAAACGCGCTAGTCTAGTTTATAAACACCGCGGACACACACACCGCAGCTCGCACCGGGTGCCGGGAGGCCACACAAGGGTACCACACAGCAGTGGCGACGGGACCGGGTTTTTTTGCCCGCAGCCGCAGCAACAGCTGTTGGATTCGTCCAGTCTCCACAAATAGGTACCCCACGACAGGTTACTTGAGTTTTTTCTTCAACAGCAGAACTCCGCTTTGTTGTGGCACACCACAGCGCTGCTGATACCTCGCGTGCGAACGCACAGCAGTCGATACTGATGCCTCAGACCTTGCCAGAACTCAACTGTCTCATCCGTGTTGAGCTCGCGGTCCGCTGTGAGCTTGTTCTCACGACGTACGCTCCCCATGCCTTGTAGAAATCTTTGAGCCGAGGCTCTATTCGCTCATCGTTGTCGTTGATCCGGTTTACCTCGTAGATGTGAGTTGTTCGCTCCGACAACGCCGGGTGCCTCGCCATGAAGCCGTCAAGCCAGCTGCGCCCTGGGCCCTTGTCTGGGTCCCAGGGCACCGGGCGTCCGTCGAGGCAGAGCACTCGCACCGCATCTGTGAGCTGCTGCCGACCGCATCTATAAGCTGCTGCCGACCGAAACTCAGCGAGTGTCGAGAAGCGTAGATCAACGCATCTTCCACCGCATCTTCTTCCGCCTTGCTCAGCACAGTCTCGGGGCCAACCCTCGCATCCATGGCCATAGCACCGCTCAAACGTCGCGAGAGCGCGTCCTTGTTCACCCCGCAGGCCTTGGCAGCAGCCCTGAGAGACAGACCGCATCGCAAGCCTTCTGCGCCTGTTGTGGGTCTACTCTTGCCCGGCCTATGTTCGCAATGCATAGCAACAGACCCGCCACAGGGATGAAAATGACCCGCATCACGGGTGTGGGAGGGCGTGTTGCTGTATCTCGTGGGCGTGACCCGATCGGGACGCTGAAGTGCTCAAACGAAAGCTAACGGAACGCTTGAAAAATTGCAAAAAAAAAAAACAGGGGTCCCCGCGGATTGTGCGCGGAGATATGTGCACTTGAAAAAATGTGTCTCTTAATGGGGCGTGTCTCATAATTGGTACATTTACTATAAGTGTCGCATTATAAAACCCATATAATTGAGAGGTGAACATGACCACACCAAACTAGACCTTTCTTCGTAGCCCCTTTTAGCAGCACCAACGAACAAATGAAGGGATTTGGTCCTCCTGCAACTAACAGCACAACAAGGAGGGAGGAAGTGTACAGTAAGCAAGCACCCTGTCTGCTGTTGTTGTTCCCTACAGAGGCGACAGGGTTTACAGCAGCAGCAGCATCATCATATATAGAATTTACTATACCACACTAAACCTAGATGCAATGTACCCAACACACAGTAGTGGTCTAAACCGACTTGAAGAAGTAAGTAGTAGAGAGGTAGGTGTAGGGTTTCGAAAATGGTGTTCATACCAAATGCTACCATACAATAGAAAATGTACAGGTTATACTATACTTCACTAAATCCTATACAATAAGGCAAATACGGTATATAACAGCCCCCCCTCCACCCCCCGCCTGATTTGGTGCTTAATCCAGTTTTGGGGTGTGCATCACGTATTTGAATCCACGTGCCCTCTTGGATGCACCAGCCGGGGTCACTCAGGAGGGATTTCCCTCTCTTCGCTTTTGCGGTGCTTGCGTTCACTTTTGGACGGGTCAAGGGTTACAATAGTTCAGCGGCCCCTTCCCTATCTTCGTGCCTGCTCACGTTTTCATGCATCTCATTTCGTGGAACACGAAATATGGAGAGCGGAACTTTAACTTTCCTCCCCCAATAGTACCGGTACGTGTCCATCGGATTCATCGGCACTCGACAATGTACATACCCTGAAAAGTACACGTCTCCACCACGAACAACGGGGGGACAGTCGCCATAATAAGAAGGACGGAAACACACTATTCGTATGCATTCAGAGAGTGAGACAACCACCGTGAATATTTCATCTGTGACACACGATACGATATTACCGGCGTTGTGCCCGGGAGTGGCACAACTCAACCGGCGATCTTTTGGGACTCCCAGAGATCTGAACGGTTTGTTAATAATGTCAAGAAAACAACTGACGTACAGAGGAAGACAACAGAGTACGTTTCACAACTAAGCTGCGATGCGATCCGATCGCATTGCAGTCGTTTTCTGCTTCTAACAACCCAATGCCAATACCTCGGACCCGCCGCACAGGTTCCCCAGACAGCTATCATTCAGAGATGCAGCATAAAACATACGACTGTCACGAATTTACGCCACATACAAGCAGCGTGGTAAAAAGCGTATATTGCTCCACTAGAGTACAATGAATCGCACCCTCGAGACCACCAATCGTGGCAAACGGTCAAGTCTCTCATTCGTCTCCCCCTGTGCCCCCCACAGACACTACGCCGCCGCTCGTAACGAGGAACAAAGTAGTCAATAGGCGGCCTCTCGTTTTGGCTGGATCAAGCCATGGGAGGAAGTCGTCCAAACTCTTCCAGCCACGCGTCCTGCAGGGCACGACGTGTGTGGGGCGCAGGATACACGCAGCACCCGCAGCAGTGGTGGTCATGGTCGACGTGCATTGTTGAGCTCATGCGCGTGGTGTGGCAAGGCTAGCGTGACGGTCAGGGGTACGAAACCGTACTTTAAGCGCTGTGTGTGTGACACCAAACCGCCCTCACGATTGTAGTGTGCCGTGGGCGCCACCTGAACAAACAGGCACATGTACATGCATACAAAGGACCCCCTGCACCGCAGCAACAGCAATAACATTTGGTACGTTCATGTGATTCGATTTTCAGAATAGCGTGGGCCGCACGCTCGTAAAAACCATTGGTCTGAACTAGGAACGGTGAACGTACGCATACGAGAAAACAAACGCTACATATATCTTGGCAAATATATCTCGGCATGGAAAGCCTTCAAGTAGGATCGGAGATAAAAAAAAGCACGACGTACGTGTTGGCGTGGGGTCAGGCCCACAGTACCACTACCAGCGAAACCAGGATGTACAGGATAAGAGGAGGGTACCTTCATGTCTTGGTGCATGGCCGCGATCTTCTGGAAATGTTCCTCGCTGCTAACCCTTGGGTCTTGGGGATAACGGCCTGACGAACAGCAAGGAGCCGAAGGACCAAAGCAAAAAGTACTAAAAATAAAGTAGGAACCAGATGATACAATTGTCTTGATACGACAAAGCATGAACAAATTCGATCAGCTTCTTTCCTTCCTCGCAAAAGAAAAGAGTACGTACGTCTTGAGTTCACACATTTTCCTTCCCTCCGTTCTTTTCGCCTGTTGACAAAAATGTGAAGTGACGAAAGAAAGCATAGGAGCGTTCAAAACTCCTGATGGTGATGGTGGTGGCGGCACGCAACAGCACAAACTGGTGACTCGATTATACAAAATCACACCATAAAAGTATTAACTGACGAGAGCTTGCTCTTGGCGCTGTTAACAAAGAAAAAAACACAAGCAGCACAAAAAACCAAACCAACAGGCACCCGTGCAAATGAACAGAGAGGAGGACGAAACAACATAAAACAAGACTCATCACTTACCCAAGCTTGGCCTTACACGTTACACGTTCCTATGTCTCCCAACACAACGACACCTACGCAACAACAGCAAAATTCTCACCCAAAATCATCGCCGCCACCGCGTCCAGGAGGCCCATCTCAGGAGGCGGGGACACTCCGCTCCCATCCCCTCTCTCCTTTCCGCCATTCCCCTTTCCCCCCTCTCGCACGCCACCAATGCCGTTTCTGGAAAACCCTGAAGCCTCCTTGGCCTTTAGCTGTTCGACGACGCTAGCCTTTTTTTTCTTCTTTTTCTTGTTGGCTTGTTTTCTTGCCGCAGCGTCCGCTGCTGCCCCTGCCACGTTTGCTACTTCACCTGGTTGCACCGATGCTTTAGCGGCCTCCCCTCCTGATGATTGCCCCGGTGCTGTGCCCCCTTCTGCTGCTGCTGCTGCTGCGGAGGCGGAGGCGGCGGTTTCTGTTGGCGGTTGCGATGCCTCCCTGTCGGCGCCGTACCCGTGGTCGTTTTCATCGTCCTCGTTCTCGCCATTGTACAGGTAGTCATCGTCTTCGCCTTCGTCTTCGTCTTCGCCTTCGTCTTCGTCATCGTCGCTGGGAACGAACCCGAAGCCCTCCTAAAGACAGGCGGAGGGCGGAGGTCAAAGGACACGCGGAGAGGCGGGACAAGGCACTCGGAACGACAGGAGGGTACAAACTCCTCTCGGAATGGAAGAACTTCCAACAAAACAGAGCCGGAGCAGGAACGAAAGAGGTGTGTCATCACTCCACGTGCTCTGCACGTCAGCTGTTACGCCTGGCGGTATGTCTTGGACACACCAGGAGGGGTCACATACAATAGGAGGAAGCTCTCACACACGAGTTTGAAGGTTGAACAAGAGCCGTTAACACACACAGGGGCTGCATTTTTTTACCCTTTGTGGGCATGCCATGGTGCAATGATGGACAAACACACGGGGACGGCAGCGACACCGTTGTCGCATGATCGCGCTGGTTGTGACAAAGCGGCTATTTGGCTCCCGTCGTTCGCTAGGGTAGCGA